CTCTTGTATAGTTTTTTTATTGGACAACATTTATTATTTTATAAATATATTGGAAATCTAGAGCACTTATGTATAATAAAAACAACAAATTTCCTTTTAAATTAAAAATTTGCGTTTACTAAAATATGAAAAAGCACCCATTATTTTCCATACATGGTGACCTGAGAGATCACGATGCATATATGATGATTCGCCTCCAGAGGTGGTTGCCAAAGGGAGAATTGAATAGAATTAAGTACCTAAATTAGTCAAAGGAGCACAAAACGGAGAATTGAACAGAATTAAGTATCTAAATTGTCGTTGTAGTATAGTGATGAGTATTCCAGCCTGTCACGCGGGTGACCCGGGTTCGATCCCCGGCAACGGCGCGTTTTTTTAACTATTATATCCCTTGCAAAGAGAAGCACAGGACCCATCTCGACGACAAGCATCAACATCTCCGCTTTAGTAGTGAAATTCACATCAACATCTCCGCTTTAGTAGTGAAATTGATGGAATTATTATTTTTTGTGGAATTATTATTTTTTGTAGGGTTTTTTTAAGCTTGATGTTATATTAAAATAATATTTTTTTATTTTTTAAAATTAATTTTTATATTAATACATTAAATCATAAAAAATGTTATTTTATAATAAAAAAATTAATTTCTTTTTTTAAAAAACTTTTAAAATTCAAATCTTAAATGTTAATTCTCTTTTTAGTCTAGTCATTTTCGTTATCTTATGGAACCCAACTGACACCATCTCTTGCTCATCGAGCTCCAAAATCGCTGAAGACTTTATCACTTTCCACGTCTACTCATCTAGCTCCTTTTTGTCCTATAGCCTAGTGCTCTCGCTCTTAAACAAGCTATTAGGATTACTAAAACTTTGAGTCACAATCACAAAAATTATTTGCAGATGGTGGAGCTTTTGTTAGCACACGTGAATAAGAATTTGGTTCGGGTTGGGAAGTTGATTTTGAGCATGGGGTCGGTTTGTAGGTGCGTGTCTCTGATGTTGGGCACTTGTTGATGCTATTAAGTTGAAGCTTGGGGTTTTGGGTCGTGGAAGTGAGCATATTCTTGTTATTTTTGCTCTTTGGGATATGTTTTTATTATTTTATATGCATTTACTCGCTAGTTATGGTAATGTAGTATGTAACTTTGTATGATTTGTTTTAGAGCATAATTGCAACGAATGAAGTGAAAAATGAAAGTATTTCCTTCTTCCATTTTGTAGGTCTCCTATGTGTAGTCCATTCATGTGCAAGTTGGTTTTTATTAATGGACTTGGGAAGTGATCTTATTATATTTTGATGACTTGTATTATATATGTTTATATTATTTGTAAGGTAATCCTATTTCTCTTAAAATCTCAAATCATTTTGTCTTAATATCTAAAAAATATTTTTAAATATTATGATATTTTTAAATATTCAAGTAGTTTATGAATGTTAGATAATCAGTTAATTTAGTTTTAACAATTTTGTTTACTTTTTCTAGTCAAGTTGATTAATAGATTATACTTGTTTTTTAGTCGATTAAGGTAGCTTATAGTTAGAACTTGCAAAAAAATCTTTTTAATGGAGGTAATAAATCTTTGATGCTTCAATAAATATCTTTTTAAATAGAAAAAATCCAATAATATTGTAGTAGAGATATTCTAAAAATATATATGCAGTAGAGAATAAAAATTATAAACTTTTATTCTAAAGATTTGATAATATATTTATAATCCATGAATCATTTTTTTCTGTAAAAAGAAGGCTATAAAGTGTAATTTTTCTCTTGTGATGTTTTGAGTTGCATTCTATTAAAAATAATATATATTAGATCAATATAAAATACCAAAGAACTTGCATAGAGTCTCCTAAAAGTTTCTTAACTAGTGTTGAGCTCGGGCAAGATGCCCAGGCTCATTAGAGGTGATAGCGTGTTCAAGCATGCTATGTGGACCCAAACATATTAGGCTTGAGTATGAAAGCCCAAGTCTATGAGAGGTGAAAGTGGACGCGAGCATGTTACCTAAATCCTAAATCCAAACATACTGGGTTTAGGTGTGTTAGAGATGATCAAGGGGTCTAGACACTATCTGAATCTGAATATGTTGGGTTTAGGATGTACTCTAGAGTTTATGTATGTTAAACTCGGGTGAAGAAGCTTGAGCCCATGGGTATAGAGGGTTGCTTGCCGAGCACCTAGCATAATAGGCATGTCATACCCACATTTAGCAAGGGCTCAAGCTTTTTGTCCAAGTCCAAACTTCTTGTGTGATGGGTTTGGGATAGCAAACCTAAAGGAGTGTTTTTGGGTCTATTTTAAGAGAATCTTTTAGGTTTATTTTAAAAGAATTTTTAGATTTATTTTATTTGCATCCATTAAAATAAATATTTTGGGACAAATAGGACCAGTCCTGTTTGTATTTAGTTTAGCATTGCTATGGTCTGTATATTTTGTAAATCTTAGTTTAATGTGGTCGGTGTAATTAATTATAGATGCGATAAAAATGGTGGGAAACCAGTGGGAGTTGTTTCGGCACAAAGAGGAAGTGGAAAAGTGGGAACCTTGATGATGGGGGGATGAACTTGATGTACTTGCAGACTTGGGTTGAGCTATGACGAGCAGCAATAGCCGCTTTAAGAAGTGGGTTCATGATTCCACTCGTATGGCCGTTCATTTCTTATTAGGTTAGTTTCAAAAGTCAATTTGGTAAAGGCTATTAGGATAAGATGGATGAGCACGCCGAGCGTGCAAGAAAGTCCGGAACAAGGAATTGTGTCGCGACAAGCAAGAGAGGAAGCATGCATGTGGCAGGCTTGTCAGATATAGCTTAGGAAGTGATGGATTTACAATAAAGGAGCGATTTGAAATGGAAATGGAAATGTGCTATTAGAGGGTGAAAACTGTTTATTGAGCATAGATGATCCAGTCTGTAAAGCCTTACGAGTTCAGCATTTTTTCTTCTTTCTCCTATAATACGAATCACCAAGTTTTTTGTTTGGTGCGTGTCTACTTCCCTGGACAAGGACTACTGTTATTTCCTAATCTGAGTGGAATTAGGGATTGGAAATCCTTTGATATGGGCAAGGACTGTATTGTTATTGCCTCATCCGAGTGAAATTAGGCATTGAAAATCCTTCGATATCTTTTCCTGGGGAAAACAATATGGCAGCAATAATGCTGAAAGATTGCAGATGATTTTGTCCTATGGTGGATCCTCATGAGGATGGCCCTCCAACTTTAAGCTGACAAATGAGTTGTGCCCTGGATTTCTTATGATAGCTGGTTGTCTATACATTCCATTATTCCAAGTTTGGATTGATCATCTCTTCTGTTTGTCCCGTGGATCTGTTCTCATTGATGTTCACCTTCACTCCTCTGTTACCTTTACCAAAAAAGTCTATATTAATCTTAGCAGTTTTTTATAGCTGTCGATGACGGAGAGGGAAGAAATGTCTCAGAGGTCTCTGAAAAGAAGAAAATTGCTCCTGTAGAATGTATCAAACTCCAATTAAGTTGTAATAAAACTTTTATACCACCAGTTCGAAGTATATGATGCTTTCTGTAGTGTTGTGATGTTCAGATGGAAGAGCAGAAGTAAAGGAACTGTGAGGCTATGGTTTCAACTGTTTGATTGATGTTGCGTAGATAGAGGTTGGATATTATGTGATTGCCCCCATTTTTTCCCCTCCGTGAAGGGAAACTGTGCTTTGTTTATCCTGCCTAGAATTCAAAGTTGCCTACAAGAAGAAATTGACGCTAGCCGCTTGCGTCCTGCCTCTTCTATTGTTTCTCTTTCTCGGTCAGAATGAATACCAAGAAACATATTTTGCCGAAAAGGGAAATGCGAGCAAATGGCACTTCTCAGATATTTGATAGTTGTATGAACTTATGCTAAGCTATGCTCCATGAGGGATCATATTTTTCTACGAGGGATGATTCTCCTAGTCATGTGGTCCCTTAAACTAGGTGCTCTGGGGCATTTGAAGAGTGCTATATCACATTTTTATATATATTATTTTTATATAAATTTAATGGTTAAAGAAAGATAAAAATAAGATGAGAATTCAACATATTTGAATTTAGCTATCAGCTAAATTCAAATGGATACAAGACTGATAATCTTTATAAATTCTTTATTGGATTACAAAACTTAATTTGTTTTTTTTTTCATCATTTTTAATATAAAATATTAAAATTAAAGATATTCAAATTTTAACACCATTAAATGTATAAAAATCTTTTAAATATCTATTATATTTTTATCAACATTAATAATATTTAAGGATATTTATCTTTTATTAATGATATATAAGGATATTTATCTTTTGTTAAATACTATTAAAAAATAATAATACTTAAACTTTTTTTTTTACTAAAAAATAAGATTTATAAACTATAAATATTTTAAAATCATTTAGATGCGAGGTGAACAATCTAGTCTTGCAGAGTTTTTTTTCTAAATTATCATTATAATTTTTCTCTTTAAAAAAGATACTCAATTACGTATCATATAATCCTTAAAGCTATCAAATATAGTTTTTTTTGCAAGTATCAGTCTAAGTGGCTTATTAAATAATAGTTTGCTACCAATCAAGAAAAACAAAACAAATTACTATAATTGTTAATCTTGGTACTAAATCACTTAGATATTTCGGGACATCACGAGGGAGTAAACTCAAGAGTCTTTCATAGTTGTGAAAACCAGAGGGGCTTCAAGAAACATAGGTGATATCTTTTGTAGAATTAAGTGGCACTGCTATGCTGTCAATTACTCATGAAAAGCACCCATTTTCCCCTTCGTGAACAAAAAAGCAACGAAATGGTTCCAAAGACTCTAGGGAGCGGTTGCCGTCATTTACTGTAGCCATATAAATCTGGAATCCATTGTGGAAGGAGTAGGTAATGCAATAAACAAATGACCTTGTGTTTATAGTGCTACTTCCACTATGATTTATGGGTTCACGTGTAAGCAACTTCCAGCTACTTGTTTCAGTATAAAATCCTGCGAGGTAGAGCATTGCTTGTGCACTGCATTGAAAAATGGCGACTGCAATGAAGTACATTTGCTTGTTTATGTTTCTTGCAATTCTCAGCATTGCTGGGCTCAATCAAGTTGACGGGGCTGGTGAATGTGGGAAAAACACCACTCCTGACATGGAGGCTTTCAAGATGGCTCCTTGTGCATCAGCAGCACAGGATGAGAATTCTTCAGTTTCGAGCCAGTGCTGCGCTCGTGTGAAGAAAATTGGACAGAACCCAGCGTGCCTTTGTGCTGTCATGCTTTCCAACACTGCTAAGAGCTCCGGAATCAAGCCAGAAATTGCAATGACCATTCCCAAACGATGCAACATTGCTGATCGTCCCGTGGGCTACAAGTGTGGAGGTGCGTTCACAAGTTTGCTCTCTTTCATGTCTTCTTTATTTCTACCCGCCGCCCTTAAATATTTAAATTTGCTTGTTTTCTCTTTCAGCTTATACCTTACCTTGAAGAGTGAAGACCATGAACTGTGCTCGCCCTGTAAAGTACTTCCTATCAACCTGCTGGAGTTCACATCATTGTTGCTAGTTCTTCTAGCTAACAAATGTAGTGTAACATCCAGACATCTGAATAATAAATAACTATTGATGCTTAATCTCCTCTGGCTCGATCAATTGCTTCTTCTTCTTTTTCCTATTATTCTTTTACTATTCTACAGCAGATCTACTTTCTTTCTATGATTCTTTTACTATTCTACAGCAGATCTACTTTCTTTCTAATGCAGATTAGATCACCATCCACTGTCAAACCAATCTGGCAGATCAGAATGTTTATTTTAATACTTAATGTTTACTTTAATACTTAATACCTAAACATCATAAAACTGCAAGTACACAAGTAAAGCCTTTATGAAATATGACTAGAAGTTCCATTAGCATGTAGCTTCAGTAATTTTAACTCACGTTCGCTGGCATGAAACTAGAAGAGGGAACTCCTCTTCTTAAATGGGCTTGAATATCATGGAAAGAAGAGCATGAGCCTCAATCTAGTGTTTTATTATTTAGACTTGCAGACAGTGTGGATCAACAAAAAAACATTCTGCTACAAACAACCATTAAACTAGTAATGTGTTTGTGCTGATTCAGATACCCGATTAATTCCGTTCGAACCTTATGTTTAAGGCAGCCACGATCATGATCCGATCATGTTTCTACCATTTGCAGTTGCTGAACTGCTGGGAGCGGTTCTAGTTGATTCAAGTAATTGTTTCTCCATTTACACTTTCTGAAATTAATCAATATTTGTCACAGCAGTAGCTATAAACTGGCATAAGCTAGAATTTGAACAGTACAAGTTTTATAGGGAGAGAATAAGTTAAGAGTATAAAGTCCATGGACAGGTAGAATAATATATTGATATTAGTCGACTAGACAACATGATGGATTGTTTAGTATACAAGATTCTGCAAGGAGTGAAGGTATAAAACCCGGACAGAAATATATCAGCTCGAGTATACGACTAGTTGGGACAAAAAGAACCCAACAATTTACCACATTGTCCTGCCATATGACGCTGTGCTAGTCTTATACTAGTCTGTATTAATTTCTTAGTTCCATAGATTACGTTGAGAGAGCTCATAGTCATATTCCTGCATCACATTAAACAAACACCATTTTAGTCATCTGAATAACGTACAAAAGGCGAAGAAGAATAATAACATGCATATCTATGGAAAGAAGAGAGATGTATCTATGGAAAGAAGAGAGATGCAACATGCATGTAAATTACAATGTTCTGGTGAATTTTATAATGGCAAATTCCTGATGCCTTGTAACATGATCTTGTGAGAACATTTTCTCATTCCTTTTAAAAGCCTTTTCCTTTTCAGAAATCAACAATTGATAACAAAAGTGCTTATATGGATGCACGATGGATCCACTAATTTTGCGCACCTTAGTTTACTGGGATGCTGCATTTGAATAAAATGGGGCCAGACGCCTAATAATACAGTGAACCTGCAAAAATGCATGTGATCAAGATTTACCAAATTGTCATGAAATAACATCATAATGAATCATATTTACAACTACACAGCTTCCATACCCTGCCACCAGTTCCCTCTTGAAGCGGTGTTTGGATCGTTGCCATTCGGATCATCCTTTCCATAATCTTTCTTGAACTGTTCAGGAGGGGAAAAAAAGTCGGCAATCACTTCAACAACTTAAACAAGTAAAATAAAATGAAGCTATCATGTTCCACTATGACAATGCATCTTATGATGCATGATCCGTATTGGCTGAAATAATCTTATCTTCCAAATAATTATTAGTTTATTGAAAGATTCACTACTCACAACATGTTGAGATTCTGAGTTCTTGGTCCTTGGGGAATAGTTTTCTTGGCCACCATAGTAGATTGACGAACTAAAATAGCATGGTTCTGGCGTTTCGTTCTGATAAACTGAACTCTGGCCTTTGCCACTTATGCCGCTGCTCTCTCCCTTGGCTTTCCGAGTGGCATTATCTGAAAACAACCCGAAGATGTAAAGCATTCACAAAATGGTTTAGAGCACTGATCAGCGAGCAATCTATTAATGACAAAACCAGATTTCTGCTATTTATGCAATTTGAACGATTCACACAAAGCCTTTTGAGTTGTGACTGTGCAATATAGATAATATTGGAAGCACATATCATCTCTACAAGAGACAAGGATATTTTTAGTCAACGTAATTAGCAAAAAAGATGGTCATTACAGTTCAAACACAAGATGTTTCTACTCTAGCAACAAAAGTTATGATCACACACCTGGATTCACATATGTTTCATTCCCAACATGATTTCCCGTAGTTCCAGAGTCCCTTCCAGCTGGCACCTGAAATTGGAACAGTTAAAAGGGAGAATATTCATACTTTCAACAAGGAGTTCAATAATTATCTGTGAACGGCCACTACCTTCCTAAGCTAATAATTATTCCAAAAGGGTTTCTTCCTTTTCCTGTCTTTCTATTCTATTTCTCTATCTTTCGCTTACCATCCCTTTAGCTTTTTTATGTGCTAATCTTAGTGGTTGCTTTGCTAGCCCCCGTAACTAGATGTGCTAAGAAAAAAAAAACCAGGAGAACCATGGAAAGCAATCATTTTCATTTGTCATTTCTGATTTCTGGGCTAATGGCAAGACGGCAAAACCCCCATAATATATAGTACCCTGTCACACATCATAAAATTAAGTCTAACAAATTAAAAGGTCTCCAAGTAAGTACGTACCTTTGATGGAGGAGGGAAAATGGACCCAAATATCCCACTTGAGGCGGATGATGAAGAGGAAGAGTCTTTAGGACCAAAAAGATGATCAAAAGAAGAAGCACCGACTTGCCTGTTGTTTTCCATGCTAAGATTGGATTTTTTTTTCTAACCTTTCTTTGTCAACCAACGAACAAAACTACTCTTTAATAGCCTACAGTAACGACCACACTGACCAAAAAGACTCCAAACAAATTAAAGAGGTAGCAAAAACCTAACTAAGCCCAAAAAGAGCACAAATTAAGAGGTAGCAGTGGTGGATAAGGTTTGCCGAGTGAAAAGGAAAGAAAGAAACAAGCTGATAAAAGAAAAACTTCAAGGGTGGATGCAAAGCACGTGAAGATTTGCAGTTGTGGAGATATAATGCAAACGATCTCTGCTATTTATAAGCCCAAAAAACGGTGCTTTAGGATGCTCTCGCTGATGCTGCAGCAATCCCATGTGCCTCTATTCAATCCTCTCTACTCTTTTTGACACATGGGGTGCATCCTCTGTCTACAAGTGGACATGCTGCCAGTTCCAACCCCTCTCTTCCACGTGTCTCCCATGCCCATATCTTTGACTCTCTTTCTGCTGGTATTTTCATGCATGAGGATAAACAGATAAGGTCTTGGCTCAACTTGGTTTCATAGGATATGCTTCCCATCTCTTTTTCTTTTTTCCTTTTTTCTTCTTTTTTTTCTTCTCTCTTAAACTAAATACTAACAAGATATACCAATATTCCATGCATTGAAGATGTTACGGATTTCACTTAAACTAAATACTAAGAAGATATATATACCAATATTATTCCATACATTGAAGATGCTGTACATTTATTCTTTCCCCTGACCCTGCAAAATCTTCCTAGGTTCAATGACACTATGACAGAATATATGTTTGTTCTTTTTGTGTGTGTGGACAGTGTTGGACCGCTCATGGCTGCTAGCTAGGTTGCTGGATTTTATCTTACGACCGATTTTGATCAAGATTGAGTTACTCGAAACATATTTGCGCTTCGGAATCACATTACCTGAGGATAACGCGGCATTTTTACTGCATGTCGTGGAAAAAGAAATCAAGTTTTTCAATGTTTATTGCCAAATTAGCATACGTACGCATAAATCCACAATAACAACTGCTATTTTTAATGTTTATATATCCTGGATTCAAGAGAGCAAAACGCTAATCTTGGATTTGTAAGCACGATTTCTTATTCATAAATTTTGGCGTTTTCATGTTGACAATAACATTTGTGGTTGGTAGCGTAAGAGTGCTAGCTAGATAAACATACAATTTTCGAGATAAGGTTATTAATTTTGTCTCGAGGAAAACGATCAAGGGGACAAGATAGATGATAAAGTCCATGTCTAAGCAAGAACAAGGACGGAGTATTAATTATTGCTCAGAGCAGCAAGACAAAGCGTTGTGGCAATATAGTCATTGAAAATACAAAGCTATCAAATCTGCTCGAAAAGATCCATGTAAAAGAGAGATTAGAGGCAGTCAGGGGTCGTCATGGTTATACAATCTGAGTTCCAAGCGTGGATAAATTCTCAATCCTTTGAGGATAAAGGTGGATGTTGTGTGGACAACCCATACAAATATTTATCTGTGGTCCTGATCGATGATACGGTACCTCAAAAAAATTATAATATTTCATTCTTTGAGGTTCCTTTTGGATATAAGCGGATAAGTTCATTCGAAGGACAGTGACTTTAATGACGTGTGGCTTCAGAATTTTCCAGGGCTAGTCTCTAATTGGGGCCGGTTTTATGGCGTGATATGTCCAACAGTTCATCTGCGTCCTCACGTTTCTATAATCCGAAATGCTATTCCTTCCGTCCTTGCGTTTCTATAAAATCGAAGGATATTTTTTTTTATATATGTAAAGTTCGTTTGATTTTGGGGGATGCCCGCTTAAAAATCCCTTCATATTCTTTCAATCCCCGCCACCTCAGAATAAGGAAAAGGTTAATTAAGAAAAAAAGTACTTTAAAGTAAGTCTTATTATTATACATAAACACACTGCACAATTAAAATTTTCTTTAATTTTTTTACTATAGGGGTGATAAATCTTTAATTTTTGGGTTTTTTAACATATTTTTTAAACATTTTTATATGTAAGTTCGTTTAATTTTTAGGTGATAAATCTATGGACGTGTTAACATACTTTTTATATATTTATTAGCATAAATAATTATAATTTTACTTAATTAAATATATACATAAAATTTTTAATTTTTAATTTATATTTTTATTAAAAAAATATTTTAAAAGTTTATTTTTTTTCAAAAAATATTACTTGATCCGCCGCAAAATACAATCTCAGCTCACAAGGATATCCCTTATCTAGAAAGAAAAGAAAAGAAAAGAAAAATATAGCAAATTTAATGAAATTTTCGCGGCAGCCGAGAAATTGTCACAATTTGCAAAACGGCGAGAATTTGTGTTTTCTTGCAATAGAAAAAAGAAGCTAAAACTTTTGTTTTTTTATATATTTTAAAAGTATATTTGCTTTAAAAAAGTTGAAAAAATATTTTTTGTAAATTTAATATACTAATATAAAAAATATTTTAATATATTTCAAACAGAATTATTTTTAAAAAGCATTTAGACTACAGTAACCGACAACCTCTTGATAAAATATCAACTGCTACCTTGAACTCTAAGTTACATGACTGCCACGGGGTATCGAATAGTTAGGTGGTCAAGCCCCGCACAATTGCAAAAGAAGTCTAGTTGCAGCTGTATTTTCTAGAACCTGTGGCAGACACGAAAGGTAATGATATTAAATTCGTTGCCAATGGAATTGGGCTGCTGATTTATAGAAGATGTTGAATCTGGTTTTGGTTCCAGATCTTCGCAATATGCCCAGAGGATTTTATTAGTAGATAATAGGAATATCTAATACTTAAAAGCTAAGTCTGTTTAGCCAAGGGGCTGGATCCTCGAGAGAGCAACTAGTCAAGTTGTGATCGAGAAGTCCCTTGGAATCATATATTCCAGGCTCCAGCTTTTATATATTGATTCTGGAATACAAACCAAGCTTTCATATGGCTAGCCTTGACAAACTTGATTTGTAATTGCCGTGTCGTGTAAATTTGGTTGACATTTGGATTCTATTTCTACATGGACCAGCAGCACAGCAAGACACCAGATAAATTGTCTTCGATGAAAATGAAAGCATTCAGTTCCCTAGAGGACCACTCGAGCATAGTTTGTGTGTCGCTTCGTCACAAAAAATACAAAATAAAAGAAAACGACATGAAGAAGCAAGCAAGCAGGCAATGTTTAAGATTTTTTCAGTATGAAAGAGCTTGTGTCCAAATTTTAGAATGAGTTGGGTTCAAGCTATTTCATAAGGGCCGATTTCCTTGACGCCCCCTCGTATTCTTAGGCCCACAGACATATCCGTGTACGCGTAGTTGAAGCAGCAGCTGCTCCCTTCGAATTTCTTTCTGGTTTTCTTCTAGAATTGTAATTTTGCGAAACGACTATGGCGTGATGCTTTCAGTATGAAACTGGAAAAACCTCTGTCAAGGGTGATGAAACTATCACGCACTCCTGGCACATATTCCTCACATACAATTTGAACACAAGTACAATTTGATCCTAAGCTTTCATAACTATGCAAGACTTTCCTTAGTGTAAGAAATCTCAGCATCTTCTTATTACGTTGTTTGCCATGGAATTAACGAACCTTGGATAGTTTTATGAGTAGAGTTTGATTCTTGAATTTCTTAAAAAAATGTGAAAGATTATAAGTTACCTTAGGATTTGTTAGCTGAAAATTTACTGGCACTCTTAAAGGCTCAAAAAGAAAAGAAAAAAAAGAGAACTAAATATTGCATTTCCAAATTAAGTCTCGCCGCAGTAAATGTCTTGCTTCAAGACTTCCCTATTCTAGTTTCCAGCATTCTTCATTGCAATTGAAGGGAATAAAACGCTAATACTTACATAGTATAGTTTTCATAAATTCCTTTGACAAGCAATGAAAATTATATGTGATTATCTGATATCGATGACACGAATGCCACAATTGTTTCTTGAGCATAGAAGAAATGAGTACGTGGGAACAACGTATGTATTAAGAAAACGATCTCCATCTATCAATAAACGAAAATGTAAGTACAACAAGAGCATCGAGATATTAATTAATTAATCAGTGGGATTTCCATGGATGGCACTTGAGCTTCGGGCATGATGAGTCCCATGAGCTTCTACATTCACCTTTCGCACCATCACAGCACTTGCATTCCAGTCCCAGGGAGGCAAAAAAACTCTTCGAATCCCCTGTTAAAAACCCCAAGTAGATGATATTATAACTTACATTTCCAGCTAAATCATACATAATTGGACACGAGTAACTCGTTTTCCCCCCTTACCTTGTTGGAGTGTTAATGGTCTGGCTTCTATAGCTCTTGGATATTGAGATATGGCAGAAATGATCAATAATAGCAGAACAGATGCTAGAAGTTGCTTGGGTGCATACATTTCTCTCTAACTTTCTAACAGCCCTGGCAATAGATGGTCAAGTAAATTAAAGCAAGCAAAGAGAAGTTAGCACAAACATAAGATTGCAACACGCACACACAGACATATATATGTATACACACACACAGAGAGAGGGAGAGAGTAACCTGAGCCAATAAGGTATTCACAAAAAGGAATGATAGGCAACGCGTTTACACCTCCCTTAAGTCATTTGTGGGTGGGCCAGCATTAGGGGCCTTCGTTTGTATCTTTCACTCAAGAGCTATGGATGTGGGTCCAATGTGAATATAGCTTTTAATTATTGGTCAACATGTTGCCGGAACTCATCTGTTTCCACGGGCTATCGGGTTTCAATTCCAGTTTTCTAAGGTTAGAAACATTCTTCTTCTTTTTTTAAATTAAAAAAAAAAAAAAAAGTTCATACCGCACACGTGTAGAGTTCAACTATATTCTGGAAGACGATAAACACTATAATTATTTTATCTAGTTGAGAAAACGTATTAAAGGACTCATCATGTCTTCCAGAATTTTAAATTCGCATTGATCACTCAAAAACACACACGCATATTATAAAATTTATGAGGCCGTTTTATTGAATATATATATATATATGTATATATGTATATATATATCTTCACACACGGGTGCTCATATAAAAAAAAATTGAAAAACAATTATTCTAAATAAAACTTTAATTCATAAAATATTTAGAGTTAAAGAATTATTACATCATTAATATTAATAGAATAATGAACTAAATACATCGATTTGGTACTCGCAAACTGTTGGGTTGGATAAAAAGAGTTATGCTATAGTTCAATATTCGGAGAGAAAATTATAGAGAAACCAAATGAAAAATCACTAATATTGTGAATTCGTGGGGGGAGTGAATTTATTAGAC